CTACATATTCTTTCTCTAACATGTTGGCACATAGATTGATATTGACAAACCTCAAAATATGTGTGACTTCTACATAAGTCCACTTACGATTGCTTAACATAATGCTAAATTTGTTTTGGTTCAAGAAATGATCATTTGTGGCCCAACTCTATGTTTGCAAGCCCAAGTATATTTAATTTGAAACCTTTCATCCAATAACTTTAAAGTTTATTGTTAGGAGGCTTTGATCTTATCAATCCTCTAATGAACTTTATGAACTTTGGTCTAAGTGAATCATTTGAACATCGTTGATCATATATGGTTGCCTTGAGTATTTGAAATGAATGATAAACTTGACAAAAAGCAAATGATACTTGTTGTTAAGAAGCTTTGATTTTATCAATCTTCTAATGAGTTTTCAAATGAAAGCTTCAAGATGGTCATTCAACTAACCTCTAACTTCTAATTCACTAACATTTGACTTTACTTTATGCCTTTATTTTATGCCTTTACTTTCTTGTACCATTTATTTTAGTACTTACATTCCATACCATTTTTCTTTTGCTCACTTGAGCATTTATCTTTATGTCATTTTATCTTTGCTCACTTGAGCATTTATCTTTATGCCTTTTTATCTTTGCTCATTTGAGCTTTTCTTTTCATTTAAAGACACTTAATAATCAACTTGAACATTAAAAAACTTTAAGGTTACTTGGACAACTTGGTTACTATTCTTGGCATTATGGAGTTGTGGACTTCTCGGACTTAGGATTAGAAGCCTCGATACTTTGGGACCTTGTTGCTCTGTTGTTATTTTATTTGAAGTTCTAGGGGTTTACCCCCATGACATTGGGTTGATTTTCTTTGTGTGCAGGTTATTCTAATTATACGATTTGTCTGTGATTGAGAATTCCTCTATATATAGTTGTTACTCTGCCCAATTTTTGTGAAGACTTAATTCATCTAAAGCTTGGTATTTCTTAGAGGCTTAGTATTTTTGCTTCCTTGGTTTCAATCCAAAGGATGGAAATTCTACATGGACTTCATATGTCAAATGTTGGCTTCTTGTTGGTTAGGTCGTTCTTTTCCTTGGCTTTTACCTTATACTTTAGGATAGTCCCTTCATCTCCTCATATCTTCTTTAATTTCAAAAATCTTCTCCCTACCTTTCAAAACTCTTCTTGTTTTCTAACTTGATCCGCTTTCATAATAAACTTGGACTTAGGTCCATGCATTTTCAAAAATATTTTCTTAAACAAAACATTAATCAATGTAACCATACTTTGACATCTTTCTCAATACTAAAAGTCAATTAACCTCATTCAAACCATTTTGTCACTTTGGGCTTTTTACTTTAAAAATTTTCTCAAAAGATTAGACTCTTGTTGATTCTTGTAGTGACGCGAGCTACTATACTTCTATGATATGTAGTGAAGTGAATATTTTTCACTTGGGTGTTGAGTGAGACTTTGTTGATTTTAAAATCCAATCCATGTCCTCCACTTTGAGATGATGCAAATTCTCCTTTCTCTTAATCATGGGTAGTAAGTATGTTTTCCACTCGGATATGATGATGATGTCTCTTCTCTTAAAATTAACCAACTCACATGTGTTTTAAATTTTTTGAGGTGAACTACAAGTATCCTAATTCCTTATTGTATGGAAGGTGATACGTAGGCACTAAAGATTTGCAACCGTGGCAAGTGCAAAAATTGTAAAAAATATTTCTTTTCTCATCTCCACCATGTATTTTTGTATACATTTTTATAGCGAATAAACACAGATTTTCAAAGAGGTTCAAACTTCCCGTTGCATAACCAACCCCCGTACCTAGATTCTCTCGCACTCTTGTTTGGTTTTGTTCGCTTTTTTTCTATTTCCTTTGGAAACAATAAAGCGCGGTGACGATTTTTATTTAATATGTGCGAGTTAAGTCAATTCAATGGCTTAGTCTCAACATTTCTACCGCTACATCCATGTTAGTTTTTACTAGAGCCCCACAGTGGGAACTAATGTACTTGTCAAAAAGTACATGTGTGTGTGGTATCCCTGCGTGGGTAGGGGATGATCAAAGGCTTTAGTAAGTGATGGTGGCGTTACCTCATATTTTTGACACAACAGACAGAAGGGTTAAAATTTTTTTGGTTATGATTCGAACTAGTGTGTGGTCTAGTCGAAATAATGACCAAGGAAGCTTTGTTTGAGTCAAAGATATGTTAGAACTTTGATTTAATCGAGGGTTTTAAGGTTTAATTTTGAAGGCAAGAGATATTTAAATCTTGGGACTTAGTGAAACTTAGGAAACTTTCAATTTTTGATGGTTATTATTGATGCAAGTATATTAAGATAAAATAAAAGTGGATAAGATCAGACAGTTATTTGAGACGCGTGGAAGCTTATTATAGACGAAGGTTGCATGTAATTGAAGATGTATCAGATGTTACTTAATCGATTGTTAGTGACGGTTATGACAAGATTAGTATGTAAACACTTCATGTATGTAGGATTAAGGGTCCTCAATTTCACACAAATTCTACAAACTTAAAGTATCCAATTGTGAGAGAGAAAAGACTGATCTAAAAATGTATGTACTTGTGTTCCATTTATGAATTAAGTTTCTTATTTTTCAGTCATTTATTGCATTAAAGTTCTTTTCATAGTTTTTCTTATTTCAACTTTGATGTCAAATATGTTTTCAGAAATATATTTTTTCCCCACAATTTGTCATGTAATATTTTCGAGTTTAATCCCTTAGGTAAGATCAAAACTTGTCTTTTTTTTTCTAAATTTCACAGTAAATAGGTGGTTAGGGCTTTCACATGGTGGTGAGAGACTCAGTTTGTTGATGTTTTACAGTGGTATGTGAGGGTTAATTCACGTGAGGTGAGAGGCTCTGTGCTTATGTGTTATGCTAGGTAACTTGTGATTTTCCCCTTATCCCCGGGGAGCAAGGTATATATAGTGGCTCTTGGGCCTAGGGTTTTCTAGGGGTCGATACTCGTCCACTCAGTCAATGTTTGATTGTTAAATCCTTATTTTCTAGAAGAACATGGATCATTCTGTTGACCCTAACTTCCCTTAAACTAAAGAATGTCTTTTCCCACGTTTCATACGACTAGGCGAGTGTGGAATGCACTTAGGGTGAGGTGGTTCCTAAGGGTGGGAAACATATAGGTGTTGCTCCTCTAGAGAGTTATCACTATCCCACCCTTACTGGATATTTTTCAAATATATCACTACGGAAAATAACTTTTTTGTGTGCATGTATCAATTAATCAATATTCCTCGTTCTCATTACTAATTTTACTTATACACATGAATATTTTACCATCTTAGTTACTATCAATATTACTATAATGTTTTTTTAAATATATTTAAATTTAAATTTATTTATGTATTTTTAGATTTATTTTTAATATTATATATTTAAATTTAAACTATTTTTTTCAATGTTTTCCTTCATCAAATTTTAGTTTGACTTGAACTTAATTTAACCTAGTTTTCTTGTCAAGTTTAATATATAATTGAGTTTTTAAATAATAAATGAATGGATATATTTTTTTGTTAATTATTTAGTCAAATTATTATTATTTTTAGGGAAAATAGTTAAATTAGATAATTAAATAGTTTTATATATTATCAAGGAAATCATTTTTATTGTACTCGCATTAATTTTAAGTTATGAAGTCTGGATTCAGACACGATCACATGACACGACACGGACACAGACATCAGGACATTGCTAATGTAAAAAAAAATAGAACATGAATACGATTATATATATATAAAGAGTCTAAAATGAGAACTAAAATTTATATTTTTTTAAAATTTAGTACCTTCAATCATCCAAAAAAAGACTTAAATTGAATACTTTTAATTAAGAAAAATTATCTACAACAAAATAATACAAATCATATCATAGTCACTACATATTGAGAAAATAGGTCTTTAAACCTGACTCATCCGAAGACAAATTATATTTAATTAACATATAACATGAATGAAACAAACACAAATAACATATAACATATCTAGTTAATATATAACATTTATGTAAATAACATGAAATTTAAACAAAAAACAGAGACAACTTACAAATAATAACACGAGTAAAGCGTCATCACTGATGCATGTAATTAACGATAGAAAAAAGAAATAAAAACAAATAATAAAGAAACAAAAAGAATGAATATCGAAATAGAAAGAGTGTAATAACGGCAGTGACGACAACATAATAACGACGTGCGTTGAAGATGAAAACAAACAAAAAAGACGAAAACAAAGAGAAAAGATGAAAAATAACGAATACAAATTATTTTTATAATGAGAAAGTGAAATATCAAATGTAAAAAAAATTAATTTTAAGAAGTTATATGTCTGCCATTTAAAATAGTATGTCATATATGTACCCGTTACGTTTTAATTTATTTTTTTAATACTTTAAAAACATGACTCATACATGTCGTACATATGTCAGTGTGTCTAATACTTATAAGGTGAAACACTTTCTAATTAAACATCTTGGAGTTTTATAGATTCTAAGCAAGTAAGTACTCTTGACTTCTATTTCACAAGTGATTTATTCTATAAAGTTATATTCTTTTTAGATTTGTGACTTTTAATATATAATATTCTTAATATTATATTTTTCTCATTTTTTATAATACTTTCGATAATTTATTCAATTTTAGCAATTTATTCTCATTATAATAAATAATTAGTCAGTAAATAATTATGTAAGTGGTCGTCATGACTCATGAATTCCAACTCATTTGATTCAGCTTGTATTAATAACTAAAATTATTTATGCTAGAAAATCTGAATCTCCGTTAGCAAACGTTTCAAGCTTTATATTTGTACTGAGATACAGAAAATACAGCATACTCGGACTTAGAAGAATTACTATATTGTCACTGCTAATAGACCTGAACCTGGGTGATCTATCCATAATCAGGATGAAGCTTAGGTGAAACTACAAAAGATAGAGACCGATCTTTTGTATTCTACAACATGACTCTACATCATTGACAATAATTATTACTGAACCAATATACGAATCTAGGGCTTCCATGTAACTGCCCCGTGTAACAGCCACCTTTCACCGCCCCATTCCGAATACCAATCGGAAACCTTAGAGAAACCGGCGAGCAATTCGGCCGATTCAGTGATTCCAAGGACCCGTAAATTGAACCAGAAGGAGAGTATGTTACGCTAGACGAAGAAGATTGGGGAGGAGATACTTTCTTGAGGGATTTGGGAGGTGAAAGAATAGCTCTGATTTTCAACGGATGAGGTAACGACGAAGAAACTCGATCATATTCTTCGATTATATTTTTCAGATCTTCGTCGCTGGTGATTGAAATCAATGTCTCTAAATCTCCGTTTGGTAAACAACACTTGAGTGTAACAGATGAACCGCATAATTCCACAAACTTCACCATCAACTCTGCAAAATATAAACAAATTATATTTTTATAGTTGAAGGAAGAAATAGTAAAAGGAAATAAATTAAAGGTTTATTGGATGAGAAATGAACCTGAGAAAGAAATGGGAAGAGGGAGCGCGAGGACTCTGGTGTGGCCGCCGGTGTAGCGGAGCTTGCCGTCGGTATGGCGGGGAAGGATTTTACCGCCGTAGCTAAAGAGAAACTTGGTTGTATTTTTGGGATTTGATTCCATGGATAGCTTTAATTTGGAGTAAAGAGTCATTTGGGAATTAGTTTATTGTGGATTGAAAACCCTTGCTTGTGATTTACTATATTATCCGTGTTAGATTAAATTTGGAACAAGCGACAGAAGGTTTGGAGTTGCTTGTGATTTACTATATTATCCGTGTTAGATTAAATTTGGAACAAGCGACAGAAGGTTTGGAGTTGCTTGTGATTTACTATATTATCCGTGTTAGATTAAATTTGGAACAAGCGACAGAAGGTTTGGAGGTTATATATAGCAGAAAGGCTAAGTCACGCTAGAGGAAAGTTCACATGGACAATATAGTAAATTACACAACGCGATAACACGACAACAAGGAGGTATCAATCAAAGAACAAGAATAAAGTCATATTTACTCCTACTTCCTTCCCTAAATATAAGAGTTTGTAGAGATAATTGCGGAAATTAAAAAAATTGATTAAAATATTAAATTTATTAATTATTTTATATAATTTTATAAATTTATTTTTAAGAAAAAGAAATAGTTAATGTGTGTAACTATTTACTATAGATTGTAAAATAAATATGATATAATTAAGGATGAATTTGAAAAAAAAATTCATTAATACATTTTAAAAGTTGAAGAGAGTTCTATAAAAAGAAATAACAATAAAACTCAAAAAGATCTTTTAATTAAATACGGAGATAATATTAAAAAATTGATGTTTTTTTTTAATTTTATAATATCTAATTTGCTAGTAAAATTTATTTTTTGTTGAATCAATTTGTGATTTTTTTTTGGAATAATTAGGTATTAAAAAAAAATTCGTAAATAACCATGTTTTAGAAAAAATTACGCAAATAATCATGTTTCAGATGACTCCCCAAAGGAGGAGTCATCTCACTTGGCGCCTACACCTATTTTTTAAGGGGAGGCGCCATCTCACTTGGCGCCTAGGTGCTTAGGGCTTGCCCTAAGCCAAGTGAGATGACGCCTTAGTGCATTTCTAGGGCAATTTTCGCGTTTTTTTTTCAATTCGGTGCGTTGCGTATTCGATATAGGATCAACAAAATTAACTTTTTATTTACAAAAAATGATTACACCCATAAGTATTACATAAAAATAAACAGATTAAAAAAACATATTAATCAGTGGTCTCCCGGAACCCGGTAATGACCCCCAGTTCCGCATCCCCGTCCTCGCCTTTCTCGTGCTAGGTGTCGTCGTGTTTCCTGCTGTGGCAGGGTCGATGGCCCAACGAAGTCAATGCGTTCTGGATCCATGAAATCAGTCAGATCTCCATATCTAGAAGATCCGCTTTGGTACAGTCGGTTATCCATACCCTCAAAGTTTGGTCGTGTTGGCGGTGGGTGGGGTTCCATGGTGGGTCTGTAGCATTGATCGTCTGAGTACGGGTGTAGAAAGGAAATGGATCTTGGGGTGTTTGGTATTGAGGATATTGGATGGTTTGGTGATACTGTGGTTGATGGTAAGTTGGGTCGGTTGGTTCATAATCTTCCAACATTCCCAGATCAGAGCTAAGGCTGGATGTTGAGGGGCCCATATTGGGATATACAGAAGACTGAAATTGTGTGTGGGTGTGATGGGTGGGAATATAACTGACTGTTTTGGAATGCTGGTTCGCGTTTGCGTTTGTTTTCACAAAATGTCGCGGTAAGCAAGAGTCGCCACCGTCTTTTATTTTATCCAACAAGGAAAGGACAAAAGCACAGAAAAATTCATTTTCGAGATGTTTCTCGGGTTCGGGAGGTAGATTATAGAAAGGGAAGGTGTTAGCACCCTTTCTATCCGTGGTTATCCACGGGCTCTTAGGTACTTGCTCACTATGTTTTCAAAAGTTTTTCTTTTCTTTGTGATTGTGGGTTTGAAAGAGTATTGTTTTTGAAGAGAGTGTAAGTGCGAAAAGTTTTGTTTTGTTTTTAAAAGGAGCAAGTACTTGAGAACCATCTACCTACTCAAAAAGGAATTAATCTGCACAAGTGTCCTTTAGACAATACCATCCCACTATTGAGGAGTAGGTAGCATCGTCGTTGGAGTTTTCGGGTCAATTCGATTAAGGGACGTGTGGTCACTAAAACAATGTTAGGACGCCTTAGCGGTAACCCTAATGTCTTAGATCATTTTTATCTGAGGCAACCATTTCGAGGCAACTATGATCTTTGGACAAGAGGACGACCTCTAAAACTTCCTATACTCAATGACCACGTTCGAGGCAACCAAGTGAGGTGTACCCTAAGAGTGGCATGTGCGAGTGTATTGTTTTTCAGTTATATTATCTTTGTATATGTTAATGGTGAGCTACTGTTGATTTTAAATTAAGATAGATCTTGTCATGCATAGCCTATTATTCAAACATCTAACAGTTAATGGTTGCGAAAATTAAATTGCGGAAAATAAATCTAAGCTATTACAAGGCGTCGGGTATTTACATCGCCAAAAACAAACCCTTGAAAATTAAATTACGAAAAGTAAATAACAGCGGTAAATAAAATCCTAAGTTAAAAAACTATTACATCCTCGGAGCAATTACAATATATGGATAAAAAATAATTCGTGCGCGAGAAAATTAAAATCGAAGTGTTTTTAGGGTTTTGACCCTTTTTATTCAATAAATAAAGCATATTTTTGTTATTTTTTATTTAAGAATTAAGTCTAAACTAATAATTAATTAATTAATTAAAAGCAAATATTTTTGAGTTTTTATTTTAATTAAGGAAATAAAAATGGTTAAAAAATATTAAAAAACCCTAATTCTATATTGATTTTAATTTATTGCAAAAATGTTATTATTAAACCTATTTAAACTAAATAAATTAAATAATGGTTTATTTACAAAAATAAATAATAAAATTATTGATGAAAATAATATTTTTTATGGTTTCTGATTTTTTATGAAAAAAAGGTTAGTTTGTTAATTAATTAGTTTTTAATAATAATAATAAAAAGCAATAAATAAAAAAATAATGAAAAGGAATAAACATATAAGCAAACTTTGGGGGGTATTGGGCTTGAATTGGGAGTATGATCAGCATAATTCCAGGCCCAGAACGTTGGCCCTTGTTGACTTTTCCAGTCTCCTATGCATGCATTGACTTGAATCCATGGTGGATCAATAATTCTGGCTTTTGGATCTAGCTTGAAACCACTTGGCACATTGAGATCTGAGGACATATGGTAGTCCACGCTTGGAATGCTGCGCCTGAATACCTGAAGAAAAAATATAACAAAGTTTTGGGGGACCTGAGATTCGAACCCAGGTCCCATTGGACTATTCAACCAGCGCGCTACCAACTGAGCCATGATGTTAACCTGTTAGTGGAATAAGACACAAATAATATAAAACAAAACAACAATTATGCCTGCCAAAAAAATAAAAACGCGCTAATATTTCAAATGGCCCAATCACGTTAAGACACATCTTCATCTTCTTCACAAAAACCTGGTTCGATTACCTGCGGATTTTTATCCGCAGGAAGATTCATAGGATCTCATATAAATGCAAACCAAGAGTGCCAATGCACTCGTCTCTCTCCCCTGAACTCGTCCATGGCCATTATTGACCTTAATTTAACCTGTATAAAGAATGCCCAAAAACAAAAACAAGAACCCTAGGTTCTGGATATGGGGTTAGAGGCCACAAAAATCAAATCAAATAATGCAGAATCAATGTAAATTGAATGGTGAGTATGAATGTGCAAACCAATTGGCAAAAAGATGTGTTGTACCCCAAAATTTTCCCTCGTATTTTTCCACAAGAAATCACAACTTCGGGCTTTTCCTGATTTTTTTCAGACTGGCTCAAGAATCGGTCAAACAGACTTTTCTCGTCAGTCAGACAAAATTTAGGGTTTTCTTTGATTTTAAAGCAGTTCAGGCAGATTGCTAAGGTTTGGTTGATTTTGGCTCAAGTTTTGATCAGGCGAACGCTTCTTTGGCATTTAATCAAGAACTAGGGTTTGTGCGCATATTTCTCAGAAAGATTTAATTCTACAGTGCTTTTCAAGTTATTCTGAGATGTGGACTGAGGCATTTGATTTGAGTTTGCAGTGTTGGATTTAATCAAATAAAAAAAGGGACATGTGGACGTGTGTTGTTTAGCTGTGCAGTGCTCTGATTATTCAAGATTCCGGACGTTAATTGATTATTTATTATTCTGAGTTAAAATGATTGGGATTAATTTCCAGTTATTATAATTTTAAGAATTATAAATAATTAAATGGACAATGAGTTGGAAGAAGAATTAACTGATAAAAAGAGGGATGTTTATTTATTTTGAATTGTTTGTTACATATATTATTTAAATACTGTAAATTTATTTACAGTTATTTACATCAATACTATTACAAATAATTAAAATGGAAACAAAGCTATGTCCTAAAAGTATTCAAATCTTCAGCTTCTACTGCTACTCCTCTCCATTGATTTTTATCTGCAAAAAGAAAGAGAAAAGAAGTCAAAAGCAGATAAATAAAAGACAGACAGTAATTTAAAGATTCATCATTAAAAGCGACCGGCCGGAATCAATTGTTCCCCTCTCTGCAAATCACGAGATTTCTCCCGATTCACAAAGAGGGATGGAATGTCTTGCAATTTAAGAATGAAATGCACAAGTATACAAATTGCACAAATTCAAATGGTCAAACAAACTGCATAGTTCATGATTCAAATTTGCCAACCAACTGCATAGTTTCAAAACAAACAGCATGTACAAGTCCAAATCCAAACTGAACTGAATTTCCTAACTGGAATTCACAAATTCAAACTATCCAAGATATCCAAAAATCTGTCCAAAAAGATATCAAGACATCAAGAAGTACAAAATGCTGTCAATAAAGTATGCAGGAAAGCAGGAAGTATGTAGAGCTAAGCAACTAGTGCAAGCAACATCCATTTTTCATCATTTTCAACCAGTCACTTTTTCAGCATAGGACAAACATAAGCAATATTAAATGCTTTAATCTGTCTGGAGAGAGAAAAAAGAGAAAAGAGAAAAGAAAGGGCTTAC